CCCCCCCCCCCCCCGGATAGGCTTCCATAGATGAAAGGCTTGAGCAGAAGGGCTTTTACCGCCCCCTCCCGGTCAGGTTATCAGTGGGGACAGTTGGATTCGCCCGCTGTTTCAGCAATCACATGATGTAATTGCTGGAGTGAACCAAACTGGACCCGGGCTGCACTGACCGGCCCCTCTTTTTTGAGTCCCCATCATGAGCTTCTCTATATATATTTTTGGTACAGGCACGACAGCTCCACTTTAGTCTGTTTCCAGCATATGTGATTGCTGGAAATGGACCGAAAAGGGAGCCTTCTGGCTGTTCAGACTCTTTTCGGTTTGAATCTCTGATACAGTCCATCACTGATGGGCTGCATCATTTTAAAAAAATTCTTTGGTTTATCTTAAAAGGACCGGTCAAAATCTGAGGATTCGGGTGCAGGCAGTGTTTCCATTGGCACTTGAAACAAACCAAAGAAAATTATCTATCTATCTATCTATCTATCTATCTATCTATCTATCTATCTATCTATCTATCTATCTATCTATCTATCTAATCTATCTAAAGTGAAGATGCACTTCAATGATAGTCTACCAGACTCTTTTTTTTAAAGTCACTTCCCCTGCCCCTCCACTGAGGAGCAGAGGTTCAATTTCCCAATATCCTGAAGTGGCTCACTTCTTAAGTCACGTCACGATATCATAAATTACAACCAAAAGGAGCTGGGACCCAAAGACTGCACCCACTGGCACACCGCATCTCCACCTGACCCCAAGCGGCCCTATTGAGCCCCCTACCAGCCTGCCCCAAAAGAGCCAGCACGGACAGGCCCTAACACGGCTACTTCTTTGAAAATGGCCGTGTAGAGCTTAAAGCTCTGCGAAGCTCTGAAGGAACCAGGTCATCTGGCAAAGGAGTCTTAAGACTGCCCTGCTGCTTGGCAGTTAGCTGGCAGCCAAGACTGCCCGTACTGTATTTATCTTGACCCCCGAGAGTGTTGTTGCCAAACAGATGAAGTCAACGGCACAGGGGATGGAAGAAACATTTGGCCCCGCTGGTGGCTTCATCCCTGGTGGTTCGCATCCCAGGACGACCCCAAAGCGCCACCCACGCTGCCTCGGGATGGCACAGATCAGCCCGCCAGAGCCCGTTCAAGCCAGCAAGGCCGAAAAGCTCCCCATGTTCAACACCCCCCAATACTGTGCCGCCTTTTCCTTTCCTCCCAAACAGAAGGGGCTGCCTTGAAAGACGCCCACGGCTGGTTCGCTAGAGGGCCACGAGAAATACTTACTTAGCGCAACTTCCACCGTCGACAAAAGGGCTCCAGTGGGAAGCAAAGTGCGCACCGCCTGCAACCACCACCTGCACAGGGCAAAACATCAGCTGAACCGTCTGCTTTAGAAAGGGTGGCACCCTTGCCCCCAAACGATGGACAAAGCTAGAACCGTAGTTCCCAACTTGGGGTCCCCAGGTGTTCTGGGACTGAACACTCCCAGAAGCCTTCCCCACTAGCTGCGCTGGCCAGGATTTCTGGGAGTTGTAGTCCAAGAACCTCTGGGAACCCCAAGGTTGGAAACAGCTGATCTAGAGGATGTTCTGCCATCTGAATCCAGGCCCAATCCTCCCTTCTGGGGGAAACAGAGTAATTTATGGATTATTCGACTGTGAATCCGTCCCATTCCAGTTTGGAAAACAGAAGCCAGGCCAGGCTTAAAGGGCTCCTTGTTGACTAGACCAGCTGTCCGCTTGGCCTTCCCCCAAAGCGCACAGGTTATCAGACTAAAAGATACTAAAAGATCCAAATGGGAACGAGTAAGTCTCAGATCACTAGCCTTCCGACCTTGGCCTTTTCTATACGGCTCCTGAAATGTGTATCCTGCCTTTTCAAAACCAAGACCAACTCAAATATAAGCAAGGCGAGGCTTCAGAAAGGTCGGCAACTCCTCATACTATCCAAGAAGGATAGTATGGATAGTACGGAAACGAAGGGCATCATCAACCCCGTGATGGGGCCATGTCCTTTAGCAATGAGGCCTACAACGTGAGCGGTGGCTCAATGGTGGAACTTCCCCCCCCCGGCCCTCCATGTGACCGAATATTTTGGTAAATTCCAATTTATTTCGGAATCCACAAAGATGTCTCAGCGTTCCTCTTATCGCAACCTCTGTGGTCTCTGTAATTTTGAAGGCTTCTCTTTCCTGTCTTAGGCTATCGGGCACTGTGTTCGAACCACATTCATGGACCCATGGAGTGACTAGTTCAAACCTGCCTCTAAAAACCAAGGGGAGCAGAAACCTGCCCTGCAGGCTTGTTGTGAAGATGGGAGCGATATTAGAATCAAGTCGCCCATTAAAAACGAACGAGGAAACAAGGACCTAGACTCTTGCTGGCCTCTTGAGCAGCCTTAAGCAGGCAGTGAGGCCCACAAGCCTACCTAGGCCATTGTCCACCCTCTCTGCTGTCCATCTCTCCTTCCTTGGTCCAGGGAGGCCACTGTGTGCCTGGTCACCAAACACACCAGGCAGCCGATGAGAGAAAGGGAAATGCCACGGCGTGTCTCGCCTTGAGCTGTTTCTCCCGTCAGTGTATTTTGGCCAAGGCTGTGTAATGAATCCTACTCATCATGGCACCTGCTGCCTTTCCTCCTGGAAGCTTGCTATGGATCCCAAACTTAAATGAAAGCAGACATCCACCCCACCACCCCTGTTGTAGTCTGAGGAGTTGAGAGGAACTGGCCAACTCTTACCATTTCATCCCGAGCTTCCGTCTCTTTCCTTAACGGTGGTTCAAACTGCAACTTGTCAACTGTAAAACACACATATTTACAACTTTAAATAAGGTTGATGTTCTTCCAAAGCGGGTTAAAGAACATTCTCTCTTGCCATCTTCACCCCTTTCATTGGAGCCAAACATTCAAGTTTAGGAATATAAGCCTTTGCGGGAACAGAATCGTTTATTTACAGTCCCCTTAGACCAGTCACATAAGTATAAAGGTAAAGGTTCCCCTTGACATTGAGTCCAGTTGTGTCCGACTCCAGGGCGCAGTGCTCATTCCCACCTCCAAGCTGTAGAACCGGCATTTGTCCATAGACAGTTTCCGTGGCCATGTGGCCAGCGCAACTAGACACGGAACGCCGTCACATAGGTATAAAACCTTATAATTTCTAATTTTCAATATTCTAGTAGAACATGTTAGCATGCATACAGCTGGGAGCTCCTATCTAGCTGGAATTTGGCTTCCGCATCGAAGGATTGCTGCACAGAATTTGGCAACTTGACAGTGATCTGAAATATCAACATCTGAGAGAAGGAACTTTTGGGGAAACATATTTTGGGACAAACTGAACAGCTTTTCATCTTAACACGCCTGTAAAACTAGCATGTTCAATTTGGCTTCAGTACGTTCTCCTCTGAAACACTTGTTCCTGAGACTCACAGTTTCTAAGAGTATCTTAAAACACACAAAGTCAGTGGACCGCAACCTTCAGGATAAGTTGTGTCTCATCAATTATGCTATGAAACAAACCAGGCCCTTTCATGACAGGAACAAGAACAGCAGAAGACCTTTTACAGAGATGTTTACAGACATTCTATTATTGTATTCAACATTTTTTGCCATTCTAAAGGACATTTGAAAAAAATTAGTATGGCTGGCAAGAAACACGAGGGCCATTTTTGTAGTACGCTTCAGTCTCACGGGACGTCCCGCCAGCTCAGCGCTGCAGGATTGGGCCGCCTTCACAAATGGAGCCACAGGGCAGGCGAAGAAGGGCTCTTTCGTCACAGAGACCCTCTCCCTGAGTCATGGAAAGGCAAGATCCTGCACTCCTAGGCTCACAGGGTTTTCCACTCAGCAAAAGCTCAACAAGGTCACTGCCCATACCTCCAAAGAATTAAAATAAAAACGTCCACAAGTCACTGAAAACTATAATAAAACCATGGATTGTAAATCTGACTGCAAAATACAAGATAATGGGCATGTCACGCAGGAGGACAAGATGATTAGCAGAGAGCAAATTCTCAGCATAAAAACTCTTGTGTTCTTCGAGGAGAGCGCAGACCTCTGTAACTTAGATTAGGCCTCCTTCAGTCTCGGGAGATGATGGGAACGTGCTCCGAATTGAGGTCTGGGAACAGCGTCTCGTGGGGCTGAGAAGGCCAATTCATCCCTTCCACAAGGAAGACAATCTGTCCTCTATAACCAGTATTTAAACTATCCACAGTTTGGGGGGGGAAGATCACTGTGGAAACTTAGAACAGAAGCGTCTGCTCGAGGCGATGTAAAATACGAGCTCATCATTTAAAACGAGGTACTAAAAGATCCCTATATAGGAGGAGAAATGTATAAAAAAGATTTTAACAGCAGGTTCTCCCAGAGACACAAAAGAGGAGTCGCTTCACAAGGCAGGGAGGTATAGCCGACTTGGGCATAGCCGAGAAACTCACAATTGATTTCAGACGCCGTCCTTTCAGCTCGAACGTTCCGGCTGGTGGAGCGAATGGTGTGGCGAATAACGGGGTGCGGCTGCGGAAGTCAGAAAAGCAGGTAAGTGGAAGGAAGGAGAGGCTGCAAAACCCAGATCAGGTCTCTCCTTTCTGACCGCCTCCCTCCCCCATCCCGCGCCACTCTGGAGTCCCCGCCAGTTTCAGACTCCTTTCTGGCCTGCACATATTTCCAAAGGAATTTGTGGCAATCTCTCATTCTGACGTGATTCCTGCAGTCGTTTGGAAGTTCTTAAGCAACTCTCTTGAGCACGTCAAAAGAGCGTTTGGTTGAAACGTTCACCAAAAGCCAGACGTGCAAATACAGGCGTTTGTTCAGATTCATCCTTTACTAGCCTCCCCCCCCCCTTGTTGGGACAGTCTGAGCGGCCTGCTCCATCTGGCAGAAATCCCGGAGTTTGGGGTTTTGCTGTGAGGCTCCTGCCCTCGTTTCCAGTGGGTGGCCATTTATTTTGACAGCTGATGAGATCGTTCTCATCATCTGGAATTGGGAGGGTGCAAATGAGCTGAAAAGATCTGTGCTTTTTGGATGAAAATTCCCAGGATCTCCTAGGCCAGGGGCATTCTGGGAGCTGTAAGCCAAAAAATCCCAAATGCTGCACAGCTCTATGGAAAAAAATGCAGGGGGAGGCCAGGGCAGAACTGCCAGGTTATCGCTTCCCCTTACAACAAATGACGTGGACTTCGTGCCCAACCCAAAAAAGCACCTTGGGTCACTTATTCTTTACTCCATTTTTGTACCGATCCTTTGGTTATAGTTTGTTTCCCCATTTCATAAACGTACCTCTTCCACAGCCCTGAATACTGTGCTCCACACACACAACTTACATTATCCCATCTAGCCAATGGATCTTTAGCCTATGAAAAGACAAAGAATTCCCCAAGCGTCTCCAGAGGTACCTTCTATCTCTTGGCCCCTCTGAGGTCCAAAATCACGTCAGTTTATCACCAAGCAAGAATCCAGGAGCCCAGCTTCTCTGCTCTGTCGCTAAGCGTCAAGGCCCCGGATCTCTGTCAGGGGGTGATGCTGAGCCCCCAGACGATGCCAGCTTTGAGACTGGGCAGAAGGAGGAGTGTCCCAGGAGGGCGAACTTGCGTTGTGCGACTAGCTGTCAAGTTCGACTTCAGAAACACCAGTGACTCGACTTTGACTTTAATCCTTTTTTTTTGTTTTTTTGGTTCCAGTGACTCAGACTTGACTCGTGATTCAAAACCCACTCACCCCTCCCTTTTTTCTGTGGGGGGACACACTTGTTTTTAATAAGGACTCAGGTTTGGGACTCAGACCCAAGAACGTGCCAACACCCCTGGAGGTTCCCGACCCAAAACCCACTCACCCCTCCCTTTTTTCTGTGGGGGGACACACTTGTTTTGAACAAGGACTCGGGTTTGAGACTCAGACCCAAAAACGTGGCAACACCCCTGGAGGTTCCCGACTGACTGTGTCTCCCAATAAAATACTTCCTCTGTGCAGAAAACCGAACCAACAGAAGACAGGCGGCGGTCTCGTCTTCCTCCTGACCCGTCCGTTTTCTACATACAGGTTTTTTCCCCCACAACAAGGAGGTGTTCCCTTATGGGAGCCCCCGCCACCCTCCACCTGCAGGATGAAAAGGACCGACTTGCACATAAGCCTGCACCACCGCAGGGAGAACGGAAAACTCCCAAACCGGGAGGGCGGGGGAGGGGGACGGATGGACTCACCTCAAAGTCATCATCGTCGGCCTCAGCATAATGGGGGTGGTTGTCCGGGTTGTTCACTTTGTCCAAGAGTTCCAAGGCCAGAGAGCGAGAAAGGCCAGGCTGCCCGACAAAGCTATGCTAGACGGGGTGGGGTTAGAAAGAAAGCCACGGGGTCAGGGTGGGAGCGCCGGCGGAAGGCAACGGGGAGGCAGCACAACGGATTCCCCTTCTGGCTAAGAAGGATACCAAGTGGACGCCATCCCACGCTTTGTGCCGCTCTCCCCCACCCACACAAAGAACTACGCACACGGTCCCTTCTCCTCCGCAAGACGAGGATCACAAGTCTCAGACCTTCCAGAAGCCAGAATTCTATGGAACCGAAGACCATCCAAGCCCTTTAACGCTGGACGAAGGATTTCACCTGCGCCCATTTGGGCCTCAGGAAGGCGCCTACTGTCCCTGTGAGGCCGGGAGAGCTCATTTTCCTCCCTCAGACGAGAGCTTGCTTCCACGAGATGGATATTTTAAGAGTATCCTTGCTCCCTTTATTTCTAACCCTCAGGCATTTCATGATGCAGCCAGAACAACAGCATCCATGCAAACGAGGAAGGAGTAACAGATTGGGAAAATCCTCAAAAGTTTTCAACGACGGATAGGAAAGAAACGATAAAGGATCACCCTCATCCTCAAAATACATCAAAAACAGTTCAACGGGGGCTAAGCTGGCATTCGCAGCATGCCAAGTATTTGTTGCAGGCAGGGGTTCTCAACCTTGGACCCCCAGGTGTTCTTGGACTACAACTCCCAGAAGCCTTCCCCACTAGCTGGGCTGGCCAGGGTTTCTGGGAGATGTAGTCCAAGAACCCCTGGGGACCCAAGGTTGGGAACCACTGGTTTAGAGGGACAGAGCAGAAAGAATGAGTGGGTGATTTTCTAGCAAAGAGGAGAAATTCACACTGCAACATTTTGCTGCAGATTCCACACCAGAGGTCAGTTTAGGCTTCTCCCTTGCTGTCGTTTCTCAATGGTGTCCCTCAGAAATGTATAAGCATGATTCATGCAGTAGGTTAAGCAATCTCATTTTAGGACAATCTTAATCCGAAGGCATCTGTTGTACAAACAAGACGTTCTGTACATATCTGAAATGTCTTCAATGTGGGTCCACGCTTTTACACCGCTGAAAAATGCTGCACGCAGTGAAAATCTGAACATTCCCTCCGTTTACAGCGACGGGATTTGAAGGATACTTAATTTTAAAAAGGGAGGGGCCATACTTACTGTAAGGAGCCTTTCTGCCGTCGGCCTTTTCTTGGGGTTTTTGGTAAGTGCCACTTTGACAAAATTATGGAATGTTGATGACCTTTAAAGAGAAATGGAAAAATCTTGTCTCCAGTCATGTCTGATCAGACTGTGCAAATGGGGAAGAAGAATATCCAGGGTCTGCATTATTAAAGATGATTAACAAAACAGGCCTCAGATTTAGGTCAAATCAGTGAAGCGAACCAGGGGTGGGTGGGTGTGACATCGCTCTGCTAAAATGTTAAAAGTTAGCAGGTAGAGAACTGGAAACCGGAAGGGTTATCTAGGCTGCTGTACTGCCAATAACATGGTTCATATTTACAAAGTGCGGAGGAATTAAAAGGCACAGACAAAGGTCCAAGGCAAATACAGTGGTGCCCCGCATAGCGACATCAATCCGTTCCGGATTAATCGTCGCTATGCAGAAACATCGCTAAACGGGATGGAAAAAGCCATAGGAACGCATTAAACTTCGTTTAATGCGTTCCTATGGCTCCCAAACTCACCGTTCAGCGAAGTTCCTCCATAGTGCCGCCATTTTCGTGCCCTCGGTAAGCGAGGGCAGGGCACAAAAACACTTGCGGCGGCCATTTTGGGCACCCGGTGGCCATTTTGGAACCGCCGATCAGCTGTTCTAGGAACATCGCAATGCGAAGATCGGTAAGCGAAACACTTACCGATCATCGCAATGGGATTTTCAGCCACAGAAAACATTGCAATGCGATCGTAAAAACAATAGCAAAATCCACATCGCTATGAGGATTCGTCGTTAAAAGGTGTGCTCGTTAAACGAGGCACCACTGTAATATGAAGTGTTGTCATTTCCTTCTTTTAACAAAGGGTGGAGGGTCATAGCCCAGGCTCACTCCTCTTTTTAAACTTCAAAGTAAATGCAGAGTGATTCCAAAAAAGTTATTTTTGAGCACTGGAAGGTACAGAGAAAACTGAACAGTCTTAAAATGGATAATGATGTTAAGATCACAGATGTGTTTGGTGCGGACACAGGAAGAAAGCTGCTTCTCTGTGGTTGCTTCCAGACTCTGGAACTCCCTCCCACTGGAGGCCAGCCTGGCCCCATATTTACTGTCCTTCCACAAGCAGGCAAAACCCCTTTCTCTTCAGGCAAGTTCTCCTTGAGTGACTAGTGGCCTGAGTGGGTTTATTTTTAATTTTAATGGATGGTTGTACTTTGTTGCTTTTCAATGTTGCATATGTTTTTGGTATGCTATTGGTTTGATTCTCTTTAGTATTTGTATACTGTTGTTGGCGTCAATATTGTCTTTTAATGATTTAAGCCGCCTTGGCTCCTTTTATGGAGAAAGCTGGGATAAAACAAACAAAGAAATAAAATAATTGCACCCCACGGAAGCTGCTTAGAGTGAGACTGTCCATTTTTGAGGGTTTTTTTCCTGGTGGAGGATCCCGGGGGCCCTAAAATCCACAGGGAAGGCCTTGATGGCCCATAAAACTGAAGGATGTACAGTTCCCACAGCTGATGTCATGGTCCAATATATTGCTTGAAACTTTTATTACATTATGCACCCATTCAAACTGCCATGGGCGATGCAGCTGTGTCTGTACGCACACGCCACAACTAATTTTGCTGTTCCTGCCCCTTCACAGTCACAATGACACCCCTCCCAAAAGAAAGAAAGAAAGAAAGAAAGGAAAAGAAAATAAAGGAAAAGAAAATAAAGGAAAAGAAAAACAGAAAGAGAAAGAAGGTCAATGGAACTATTCTGCAAACAGCAAAAACATCTGTAGCAAAAGGAATGTGGTTCTGCTCTCTGGGCCCTGGAAAATATGGCTAATATTGCAATCCAAACCAAACTCCTACTGAGCAGCCTATTAGGAAAACAGACAAAGAGGGAAAGCAACTCGTGGTGTGACAGAAGAGCCGGAGACCACGGGGAGACCAATAAAATGCAAAACGGGAACTGCATCCAAACTATCTAGACTCAGACAGCATTTTCATTCCTATCGGATACAAACAGAGCTTCCCTCAAAGGAAAGGAGGGGAGTCTGGCCTGCTTGGAAACAACCCCCCACCCCCACCCCACTGCCTAGACCTCCTTCTCCCTCCTGAGATCATGGTTGCAGGCCTTGCAGAGGCAGGCGTTCTGATCGATCTCAATCCCTGGGAAGCCAAAAATCAGACATGACCGATCCACCTTCTTCAGGGATGTTTGCATTGCATGCTGCTGCTTCGGAAGGTGGAGACGGGGGTGGGTGGAGAAGAGAGGAAGGTGGCCCGAAATGTCAACTGAGACCAAGAAAGAGAGAAAGAGAGAGAGAAAGAGAAAGAGGAGGAGGGATAGGGTAGGGGATAGGAAGGGAGTTAAGTGTCTTGTGTCAATTGAGTAGGCAAGCAAATAAGATAACAGATCACAAAGGCTGTTGCTCAGTGCACTTAGGTCACAAAGACTGTTGCTTTGACTCAATATAATTTCATTAAAATACTCCAGAAAAGTATCTCATATGGGACTGTTTACATAAAGTAAACATTTGTATGATTGCCAAATCAAAGAGTCCATTAGCATCAACATTTATTTTTTTCCTTAAAATATTCTAACCACTTTTCTCCTAAAAAACTGACTCAAGGTGTCTCAAATCATTGAAACACGATGTTAAAAGCTAAAAGCAGTAAATTATTCAAATATAAAAAAGAATTAATATATTAAAAATGTTAAGTAAAAACACTGCTAAAAACAGATTAAGAAGCAACAAAATATAAATCATCCTGTTTATTGTCTCCTAGACCGTCAGTCACTAAGGAAAAGCCTGCCTGAAGAGAAAGGTCTG